TAATCTTTCTAACAGTGCGTTCTAATTCTGAATCGTAAGGTATAAGATTTTCAGGTCCAAATTTACACATACAATTTGAAATCAGTACACAGTAATATAATTAACTAAATATGAAAATAAATTGCAATTCAAGTAAAAATTTTCTAATAATCCTAATTTGTTCGTTACTCTAATTGTAATTTTTGTTTACTCCCCGACAACGGCGCCAAAAACTTCACTGCGACTTTATATATGCTTAAAATATAAGTAATTAATATTGCTGCTAAAATATTTAATTCCTCAACAATTGTACCAAAACTTAATAACAGTTATAAATTTGATAAAGGTGTATGTATAAAATATTCAATAATTGTAAAGTCACACTTATTAACTCAAGTATACGTATAGTTCAAGTAATATAGGGCTCAAATGGAGTCCTAGATATCGATCCCACAGGAAGTAATATTAGAACTACAAAATTTGACTTTAGAAAGTAATACTTTAATCACAACAATGGAATTCAATTTGTTTATCTGTCACTAATAGGCAATTGAAATAAATATGCAATTTAATAACTATTAAATAACTAAATATACTAATGAGGTTTTTAATGTGATAATGGATAAAGTGAATTAGTTGAAATTATATTGTGCCAAATAGGAGCATGTCTATTCTTTACCCATTGGTCCAGGCATAAAGAACATTGACTAATCCTACGCTTATTTACTGAATCTGCAGCTAGGCTGGGAGGATATCGACTCTCACTTTGGAGCTCCCACGTTCCCCTCGCCTGAGGGCTAACATCTACACTTCAACACCCAAACGATAGGACCGAATTGGGGATTTTCGTCTGTCACTCTAAAATCTCCAATTCTACGCCTGATAATTTTATTTCTCTATTTATTTGCACCCAACTTCCAAGGGCTTTGACATCCCTGAATCTTGGATGTAATCTTCACTTTAGTTGGAAAACTCAACATATTTTAACAAATCAATTGGTCAAATTGAAAGTAAATTAAGATCGAAGTAAAACGATCATCACAATTTATTTAACATTTTTGTGGCTCAACCAATTCAAATCTCCATTTCACAAATCTCAAGACAAGGAGAAAGACAGAGAAAATTACTCAGATCTCATTAGAAAAACACAAGAAAACTCGAAATTCATATATAAAATCAAAGACATACAAACTACAACAATAAATAAACTTATCTCTAATTTCTCTCCAAGAAACTCCTCGAAGTTCCTTTGAATCTCTTCCTTTCTTTACAGCACATAGAATTCCTCTTCGAAGCGGTAATGAGGAAGAAATCTCTCACTTTCTCTCCACTCTTACAATCTCTTGAAGAATTCCTCACAATTTAGACTCTCTACACTTTTTCATACTTCAATTTGGAGCCTCTCCTCTTCTATTTTCGGCCAAAGTTTTCTCTTTAAAGATGTGGATGAGTTTTCCCAAGAGTTGCCTAAGCATCCCTTCAAAATTTGTCATCATCCAAAGCCTAGTTGAACATAACCGCCGAGCTCGCCGTCGGCGGCCTCGAGGGCGCCGTTGGCGGACCTTCTTAATGAATTAATTCTGGAGTCTCGGGAAAATCTCGCCGTCAGTGGGGTCGTTGGCGCCGTCAGCGCCCTAGTTCAATTCTTCACATTTTGGGCCTTTTTGCTCCAAATTCGCTCCTTTTTGTATCTTTTTGCTCTAATGACACTATTTCATCATTCATGTAACAAAACATCAAAATACATTTCCTTAAAGTGCAATATCATGAAAAACAGTATAAAATATGTATGAAAATCTCAACATATTTTCCTTTGGTCGGTGACTATCTAATTATCCTAATATTTGGCTTCAATTTTGAAATGATATTATTTAATATTTCATCTTGCCAATTTCATTTAATTTATGACTTACATTTACATGACACCACTCATGCAAATAGCCTAGAAAGATAGGAGGGTTTACGTCGTATCGAACGATGACCTCAGAGCCTACAAAGAGTTAGGGCTTATATCGCACAACATGGTTGTGCGAAAGCCTAACGATAGAGTGAGGATTATGTCGTGCTACACGGACTACCTAGAAATCATATTGCTTGTTATTTAATTCTAACAAATGATCCATTGTAGACATTTTTGCTATTGTAGATCGTCATTCTCCAGTCGTGGCAGCTGGCCCCAAGCTCCTCGCAGTAGTTGCAGCTCCAAGGTATAGGTGTATTATGTTTTATATTTTTAGTTTCGATAATTACTAATCCAATTAATTAAATGGTATGATTTCAGGTTTTTAGTGATCCACCCTAAGTAAATCGGGTGTTGTTCTCTATCCTAAAGGTCTGGCAAACAGATGAAAATGCAAAAACAAGTAAATGCTATGAAATAAAGTAATGAAACTGCAGTAAATAAATGTGTACCTGAGTCTCTGTTATCGCTGCATGGTTAGTATCATAAAACATAACATAATTGCAAGGAGTTTAAATAAATTGTTAAAAAAAAAGAAAAGCGAGCAAATCCGGTGCAAAGAAATCCGAACAAAACCATAAGACGAACAACCAAACAAGTAAGAGAAAACCCAATGTCACATATAAAAGACCGGGAACCAATGTAAGAATTTGGTAGAGGTGAGGCTCGGAGCTAAGCTGTGTGCTTCTAACTTTGGATAGCAACCTTAAGAGGGCAAAGTCTTGCATGATCAAGATGATTAACTACTGAACTTTCATAATTTTCTTTTTTAAAACTCTTTTTACTTTTTCGATCATGTAGAATTTCATTTAGCAATCAAAGGTAATTGTGAGAAAGTAAATTTTTGTTTATGTATATATATATATATATATATATATATTGTAAACATAGATTGATCACGAGTTACTCATCCTAATCGGACCGAACTACCAGCAACCTGAGAATGTAAGAGGTAATTTCTTACCAAAGGTTGGTGAATAGTATTATTAGTCATATTCCCCTTTTCCTAAGGATTCTGGAGGGTAGGATATACTATTCTAATGTCCCACTTTGTATCCCTCGTTTAGCACACATAAGCATTTTTTTCATCGCCCTTAGCCACCAAGACCTCCGACTTACAAGAGCGCGGTGATCCATATATAAAATAAACAAGTATCCACAGTTGCTCAAAAGCATTTGAATATTGTATTCAAGACTCGTACCCTTGAGCATTGGGTTTAAATGTAGGATAAGTAGTGTTAGGGTATTTTATTTGATGTATATTAACCGGTCCCGAATCATATCTTGGTGGGTCATTAATGTTTCATATGATAATGTTGGGTTTGTTATGTTTTGAGGTTGATTTCCTTCATCAAATCATAATAGGCTTAGATGTATTATGGAATGTCCAAAAACTTATAAAGGAGTTCAGAGTGTAGCTCTAAATGACTTTAGAATCTTTCAGACTATTATGGGTTCATTTAGCTTCCTTATGTTATTGAGTTAGTCAACAAAAGTTGAATTAGGAATTGTATTATTATGCTTTTAGATTATAA